TAAAGTTGCCAAGGTTGGAGACCCCTGTCTTAAAGCACCTGGAGCAACAGACTTGAGAAACTTGTAACCATTCACTATCCTTTCAGGAATTCCCACAATTTGGGTTTTAAGATTTCTATTCTCTCTCCTTCTGTGACCTTCCCATCCATTGCCTCCAAGAAGAGCTGACTGGAATCCAGGAAAAAATGTTAGGCCAGCGGGTTGAATCTACTGCCACTTATCCAAATGGGAAAAGAAGGGAGGTTTTATGGGCCACCAGCCTGGTTTACGTGCTGTTCTATAGCCTCCTTCTCTCCTTTCCCACACCATTTATTGCTTGCTGCCTCTGAATCTCCTCCATGTCACGCTGAAATCATGGGATATGTCCTGGGGGCAAGCACAAGGTCTTCGCCAGGAATGTCTGGAAAAGCCATCCACTGAGTTGACCTACATCTAAACTTTGATTTTGAAAGGGGGAAAAAATATAACGGCTAGAGTAATTCGTAACAACGGTAGTCATCAAATTTGGAGGAAATTTCATGTAGCTACTGTGGCCTTTCAAGGAGACACTTAAAACATGCAACCTGGCTGTGGGGAAGAGAAGTTACACATTACAGAAAGCAGGAGAGGAAGCCAGTCCCCTGCTGCCAAATATAAAGCTCAGATTGACAGAGAGGATGGGAGACCTTGAGGAACCAACTCGCAAGCTTCCATTTTTGAATGGATGAGGCCACAGGGATGAGAACCAGGACTGCTGAGTTGGGGGATCAACCACTGAAGAAATGGAGTTTAGTGTGAAACTAGAAGCATCGTGAGAAAGCACAGAGGAGAACTTTAATTATTGCTAACTGATGTCGGTTCTTTTTCCTCCTGCTGCCCCCAAAGCCACTTCCTCTTCTTCATTTTTTTTTTTTTCATCTTATTTCCGTAACAGGTCCTAACCATTTAAGGTAAAAAAAAATCAGCAGTTCCACCAATCCCTGCCCCCTTCTTGCATGCTGTGCAAGTCCCCAGAAAACCACACAAAAAAGCAGAGGACGGGGAAGAAGGCAGAAGTTAGATTCGCAGTTTTCTATGGGATTCCTTGGCAAGAAACTGCCTTGAGCATTGCTGGGAAGACGACCTGGGATAAACCAGAAAAGCTTTGAAAGAGGTCTCAAAAGTGGGGGTGGGGGGGTTTAAGAAGGTGGGGGAGGGCACCTTGGACAATGGCAGGACCAGGAAGGCTCCTCCACCACTGGCCTCCACGACGATGGCTAAGAATTGGGGGTTGACAGAGCAAAAGTTCCCATCCCATGTCATTTGAGAAACACGGATGTCATCATAGCATTGGTCACCCTTCACCGGTTGCCCGTAGACATGGCGGAACTTACTGGACCTCACAACTTTGCGGCTCATGGTTCCTGCAAAACAGCACATTGTTAACACCATACAGTCATCCCTAGGAGCATGCAACCACCCCACTGCTAGCACCATTTCCTTCTTGAAACCTTGAGCCCATGTGAGTCGATGATGGCCCTGAGCCCCGTTTCACCTCCCGCCAACACGCTAAAGCCTCTCTGTCTCAGCCCAGCACCAACTCCACACAGAAGAACCAACTGGGATCAAGAAGATTTGATTAAATTTGCACCTTCTAAGGTCATGCAGCTGCAGAAGATCATTGTACATCCCCTGCCCCGAGTAGACCCTCCAAGGCCCAAATGCTTCCCACAGAATAGGAGAGCTCTTCAGAATACAGTAACGCTGAGGAAAGTGCTGCGTTCAAGTCTTACACAGGCCAACCCTCCCAAAGATCCCAGAAGATGAGTTTGCAGCCTGGTCATTTATTCATGAATTAGCTCCACCAGATCTCAGAATTGTAAATAAATAACACACATGCAACCCTTAAATCCACGCATTTTTCTCCATGGAGCTCAGGATATTGTATCTATGAGATAATTTATATTATTCTCACAACCTCCCTAAGAAGTACACCGGCTTGAGGAATAAACATTTCAAAAAGACTAGCTAGTTGGCTTCACCATTGGGGAATATGACTGCAGTTCTCTCTGGCCAAACCCCAGGCTTTACTTCACCATTCTTTGAGGTCCTCCGCGTGTTGGACTATAACCCCCATCATTCCCAGCAAGGACAGCTGGGCATCAGGAGGGAGAAAGCTACTCTCTTGGGTATGACATTTAAATGAAATGACAAAACGGCATCCACTTCCCAGGCTGCTGGCTGACGTGGGTGGGAAAGAAAATGCCTTCCCAATTCCAAATGAGACAAAGTGCCAGTTAAATCAGAGAGGAAGGGCTGCCTGAACTCTAATACAGAAGTGTTCTCCCTAGGGACCTACTTCACAGGGCTCTGTGCTTTGCCCATCGAAGTTCTAAAGCCAAGATAAAATCAACAGCACAAGACTCTCCTTGCAACCCATAGCGCTCTCAGCAAGAGCCCCATCAACAAAGCAGAGACACACTCCAATCCTTTTGGTTACACCCACCCACACACACACACACATCCTGAGCACTCACCTGCACCTTCCGTAGCTGATGTACCACACAATGCATTAGGAATAGGGCGCTCAGGCTTTTTAAAAGCCATCGCCCAGGAACAGCGCTGGGAGGGCTATCTCTTAAAGGGCCAGCACACAGAAAGCTCACCACCTCTGCTCGTCATACTTTTTCTCACTTCCTCTCTTCCCCCCCCCTCCCCCTTTTCTTTAGCATCCTTCAATCTGATGATGGCACAGAACTGCTGCTTTATTTGCACAAAATACTGTATGGGCACGCGAGATGAGAGAGGAAATGACCACCTGTTAAAAAGAATTGTGCACAGGTTTCATTTGGTACCGGCATCAAAAGATCTTTTCTTTCCTGCTTGAAGAAGACCCTGGCAGAGCCCAGAGGCTTCCTAAATAGCTACGTAAAAATCTTACGATGCTCTGTTTCCCTTCTGTAACCATTGTAATGTGAAGCACTACTTCAAATATTTGCCTCTCTTCTTCCCTGATAAGCAGGGCCACATCAGTTTCAGAAAATGATACCAGCTGCAAAATTGAGCTTCCCCCCAAAGCATTAAGCAGCACCTGTTTTTAGTCCTCCTGTATGTCGCTATCTTGGTCAAACCACAAAGGGACTTGTATATGAGTGTCTGCTTATAGAAGAAACCCACCATCTTAAAAAGAGACTATGCTAATTACATTAATAAGGACCTGAGTGTTTGTATCATTATTATTATTAATCATCGCACAGTCAGCCACATGTTCAGACTGGATTTGGCATTTTTGTCTACCTTACCAAGGACCTGGGATAGGCAGATCTGAATGTTTGACAGTGTTACAGATATCGTCGCAGGATGGAAGCTGTTCCAAGTAAAGCCGCCTTCTGCAATTGACTGATGGCAAATTTGTCAATGACAATGATGGTGTTCAAGGGGTGCTCCAGTTGTTTTGGGACTGCACTCAAGGCACCTATTACTGTTGGTACTACCCTTGCTTGCCTTTGCCATAGTCATTCTATTCTATTTGTAGGTCTTTGTATTTTGTTAGCTTCTCCAGTTCTTTCTCTTCTATTCTGCCATCCCCAGGCACTGCCAGATCCACTATCCAGACTTTTTTTTGTCTTTGTTATCGACAACTGTTAAGTCCAGGCTGTTATGTGGCAGCTGTTTGTCTGTCTGGATTCTGAAGTTCTAGAGCAATTTAACTTCTTCATTTTCTATGACATTTTCTATTTTATGGTCCCACCAGTTTTTGCTTACAAGCAAATTATATTTCTTGCAGATCTTCCAATGCAGCATTGTTGTTTCTTTGTCATGCCGCTGCTTGTAGCCAATTTGTGCAATCTTCTTGCAGCAGCTTACCAGGTAGTCCACTGTTTCTTCAGCTTCTTTGCATAGTGGTATTTACTGTAGGTTTCTATCTTTTCAATTCTGTCTTTGTACAAATTTGTCCTTAAGGCTTGGTCTTGTGCAGCCAGAATTAATCCCTCTGTTTCTTTCTTTAGCTTTCCTGCTCTTAGCTATTGCAAGGTCTTATTATTATCTGCTTTCCCTATTTTTTTTTTTAATGTACTGGCCATGTAGTGCTTTGTTTTCCCGTGCCTCCATTCTGTTCTTCATTTGGTCTTTCTTTGTAGGATATTTTGGTCTCTTCAGTAGTCAGGAAGCCTTCCTGGCATAGTAACTTCAGTGCATCTTCTTCATTGTCCTCCGGATATTCTTCCAAAGCCCTTTTTTCTTCTTCAATTATCTGATGTACTTGCAACATTCCACGCCCACCTATTTGCCTTGGTAGGTACAGTCTGTCAATGTCACTGCGAGGATGAAGGGCATGATTCATTGTCATTATTTTTCTGGTCTTCCTATCCATTTCTTTTTTTTGTTTGAGCCCAGTTCACTATTCCACTGTGTAACAGATAACAGATAACAAATAATCAGAGTTGGAAGGGACCTTGTAGGTCATCTAGTCCAACCCCCCCGCCCAAGCAGGAGACCCGACACCATCTCTGACAAATGGCAGTCCAATCTCTTCTTGAAGGTCTCAAGTGATGAAGCTCCCACAACTTCCGAGGGCAACTTCTGTTCCATTGGTTGATTGTTCTCACTGTCAGAAAGTTTATCCTTATTTCCAGGTTAAATCTCTCCTTGTCCAATTTCCATCCATTATTCCTTGTCTGGCCTACAGGCGCTTTAGAAAATAGATTGACCCCTTCCTCTCTGTGGCAGCCCTTCAAATATTGGAAGATTGCTATCATGTCTCCCCTGGTCCTTCTCTTCACTAGACTAGCCAAGTCCAGTTCCTGTAACCGTTCTTCATATGCCTTAGTCTCCAGTCCCCTAATCATCCTGGTTGCTCTTCTCTGCACTTTTTCTAGAGTCTCAACATCTTTTTTATAATGTGGTGACCAAAATTACTCTAGGTGTGGTCTTACTAAGGCTTTATAGAGTGGTATTAGTACTTCCCTTGATCTCGATTGTATCCCTCTGTTAATGCAATTTAGGATTGCATTAGCTTTTTTGGCTGCTGCTGCACACTGCTGACTCATATTTAGCTGGTTGTCCACTAAGACTCCAAGATCCCTCTCACAGTTACTGCTATTGAGCCTGGTTTCACCCAATCTATATGAAAAACCAAAAGTATTTCTTGCCTAAGTGTAGGACTTTACTTTTCTCTACATTGAATTTCATTTTGTTAGATACGGCCCAGTGTTCTAGTCTGTCAAGATCCATCTGGATCTTGAGCCTATCTTCTTGGGTGTTAGCTATTCCTGCCAGTTTAGTATCATCTGCAAATTTGGTAAATTCCCCTTCTGTTCCCTCATCTAAGTCATTAATGAAGAGATTGAAGAGTACTGGGCCTAAGACAGAACCTTGTGACACCCCACTGCTTACTTCTCTCGATGTAGACTTAGACCCATTAAGGACTACTTGTTGAGTACGGTTTGTCAGTTTGTATCTAATGACTGGTATTACCTTGATGGTATTAACTCTGTCAAGGATCTTGGAGTACTCATCTCTAATGATCTAAGTGCTAGAGCCCACTGTAACTACATAGCCAAAAAGGCATTAAGAGTTGTTAACCTAATCTTACGTAGCTTTTTCTCTGGTAATATTACACTACTAACTAGAGCATACAAAACATTTGCTAGACCAATACTCGAATACAGCTCATCAGTCTGGAACCCACATTACGTATCTGATATTAACACAGTTGAGAAAGTCCAGAAATATTTCACAAGAAGAGTTCTCCACTCCTCTACTCGTTGCAGAATACCTTATGCCACCAGACTTGAAATTCTAGACCTACAAAACCTAGAACTACGCCGCCTTCGGTCCGATCTAAGTATAGTATATAAAATCATACATTGCAATGTCCTACCTGTCAATGAATACTTCAGCTTCAACCATAACAATACAAGAGCACACAATAGATACAAACTCAAGGTTAATCGCACCAAACTTGACTACAGAAAATACGACTTCAGCAACAGAGTGGTCAATGTCTGGAATACTCTACCTGACTCTGTGGTTTCTTCCCCAAACCCCAAAAACTTTAACCTTAGACTGTCTACCATTGACCTCACCCCTTTCCTAAGAGGTCTGTAGGGTGCGTGCATAAGCGCACCAACGTGTCTACCATCCCTGTCTTATTGTTTCTTTTTATTTTTCTTATATGTATCCCTGTATTCATAACTATGTTTTTACTTATACCTATTATCTTGTAAGCAATTGGCAAACCAAATAAAATAATAAATAAATAAATAAATATTTCCTCCAATGAGTTTTGACTCTAGGATCTTTTTCACTCTCTTGATGTATTCACCTCTAATCTTTTTCTTAACTTCAGTGTGCTTGATGTTGTCAGCTTGAAAGATACCCAGGTATTTGTAGTAATCATCTTCATCCAGACTCTTAATGCTATTTTCATGAGGCATTTTGATTCCTTCAGTTTTCACTATTTTTCCTTGTTTGGTAGTGAGTATGGCACATTTATCCAATCCAAACTCCAATGCAATATCTTGGCTAGATATACAAACAATGTTGAGCAACAATTCTATTTCAGATTATGTTTCTCCATACAGCTTTAGATCATCCATGTAAAGGAGGTGAGATAGTCTGGCAGATGTTTTTGATGTTTGATAGCCATGGCCTGAGTTATTCAGTATTGTTGACAGAGGAAACAGTGCAATGACAAATAATAGTGGTGCTAGTGAATCTCCTTGAAATATTCCTCTCTTGATATTAACTTCTCCAAGTCTCTCATCATTGACCTGCAACTGTGTCTTCCATTGATTTTTGCACAAAGCTTCTCATATTTCTATGATTATCCAGTCATGTGGCAGAGAGTCAAATGCCTTTTTGTAGTCAATCCATGCTACATTCAGGTTGGTCTTCCTTCTCTTGCAATTTTCCAAAATCATTTTATCAATTAGGAGTTGATCTTTTGTTCCCCTGCTATTGGGGCAGTTTCCTCTCTGCTTAGGTGGAAAGAGATTTTCAATTAGATGCTGTTGGACTGCATCAGCTACCACACCAGTTAACAATTTGAAAGTTGTTGGTAAGCAGATAATTGGCCTGTAGTGGCCTGCTGCTGCCCCTTTTACTAGATCTTTCATTATCAGGTAGGTTTTGCCAGATGTTAGCCACTCTTCAATTTCACCTCCCTGTAGTATGTTATTAAACAGCTTGGCAATGAGTGGGAATAAACCAGTAAGATGTTTCAACCAAAAACCATGCAGTTCATCTTACCTGGTGCTGACCAATTCTTGATCTTCTTTGCTCTTTTCTCTACCATTTCTGCTGCTATTACTAGTTTTTTCATTTAAACTTCTTTTTTATTCTTATCCACCTCTTTTAACTAAGCTGCATTCTTGTTGTATTTCTTTGGGTTATCCCATATCTGCGCCCAGAACCTTGTCAGGTAGTGACTGATTCACTGCAGTTTCTCCATTGATGAATTGATAGAAAAGTTTCTGATTAGGTTGAAATTGGAGGTTCTGCCTATAATTTGCAATTCGAGCTTCATATCTGCTATTATTTGTTAACCTTATTTTGTGAAGCTTCTTGTCCGGTAACATTGCATTGTTAACTAGGACATACAAAACCTTTGC